GGCAAGAGGTGTCAGGTTTTTCACGTTTCTATTTGCACAGATGAAATTAATTTTCCTCCCTTATCATCACAACGGGCCTCTTTTTCGCGTTTCAATGGGAGGCTCTGAAACGGCGATTATTGGATGGTTGCGAGAGTGTCGGCGCCAAATAACGTTGGTACCTGCATTTGAGCGAATACCTTGGCACTAGTCGTTTGATCTTCGATTTTGCACTTTTACACTCGCTCGTGCCGTGACTGGTGGTGGAGGCGAGAATGGGGATGGAAAGGAGGGATGAGAAGTACGGTAGCGGTACGGGAATTTCATACCGTGAAGGGAGATGTTTATTGGCATCGTACCCGCTGTCCGACGGTACTGTACAGTACCTAGCCTCATCTTGTATGTATTCTTGATCCTCAGGCTCTGGCAGGCCCCAGTATTTTGGGTATCTCTTACACGTACGAGTACCTGTTGGGATTATTTACAGAAATTCCCCGCTTGAGAATATCGATGCGATAGCAATGGCCTTGTCTCAAACACCCCCAAAATGCTTTCACATTTGAACAGCCCCAACCGTAGCGCCCCCTCCTTCACCCCTTTCCCTCCCTCCTCACCAAAACCACAAAGCTCGAGAAAGAGGAAAAAGGCTCCGTCCCCACCACCACAAAACAGAATACTTGTACTCGGAATCCGGCGCTACCATCCGTCCACCATCCCCGCAATTAGTCATCCCACTCTCTCTCTTCACCGTGCCATATCTTCTGGGAACTATCATACCGTAACTCGGGGCACGAAGACGTTAAAAAAGCGCCAAGTATGGTACTGTACTCGTGCATTCTACAGTACAGTTCACGACAAATTCCACCCTTGATCCTTTAGCCACTCCTTTCATCCTATCTTAACCCTCTTTGGCCGTTCTGGGGTCCACTCGCTACCGTATTGCTGTGGCCCTGTGGATAGGCCTGGATGATCTGCGCGTGGGTGAACACGCCAGCGTGCTCGTAAGCCCACGACGGATTGCATCCCGGTGGATTTGAGTTGTAGAGTTAGGGAAAGATGTTATTGCTACTACCTTACCCACCTCAAAATGCGAAATGTGATGGTGTTAATACTGTGGAGTTGGGCAAGTCGGATATCGTGGTACTTGTACTGGTGGTAGTGCTGTGCGGTACTGTACAGTACCACGGTAGAAGGTGTTGTGGACCCGTACTGCTCCCTCATTCGTGATTTACCCCTACGGTAGTTAAGGAAGGATACTTTCCAGATCTCGTTATTTTCCTGACCAGATCTCTTGGGAGCAGCGCCCGACAGACTACCGTACGGGTAAGGGATACTTCCCCATTGTGCTGCTCCGTTCCGTAATCCTGAAACGCGCACAGTCGAGAACATCCCTGCACTACCACCAGTGCAGGAACTACCCCAGCTCGTCCATACTTGTAACACCCAGCCAGGCAGACCGTAGAATCGAGCACTATCGGCATCCCACAGTGCTCGTACCCACCAACAACACAACACCCTCGCTACCACGCCTGTCAATACGGTAGGCCGATACCCTACCCGGAAATCCCAGGATCGCATAATCCTCCCGCCACACCGCCGGGGCAAAATGGGAAAGAGCGGCGTGGCTCACTCCGCCGTTTGTTTGTGCCACTTGTACCCATAGACCGCGATGGGTTGTGAGATTCCATGCATTTAGTGTGTAGTATTACTACTCCCGGGTAGGCGAGTCTAGAGCCCGAGAGCGCTGGAGGAAGGTGGTTTAGAGTTGAATCCGTATACGGTATCGCTCGAAGCCTTCTCGGTGCATGAAGAACCGCAGATCCGAGCCATCCGAGGCGTAAAGGGCGGTAGTTATTCATGGCTTTCCAGGAGCGATGCGATGCGATGCGATAGCCCCGGCTTCTATCCACCTTGCACTGTTACGAGTACAGTAAGCACCCGTAGGGAAGTGATAGCTCGCAGTTGTGAGCTTTGAAAAGCCCTCGTTGGGCACTACAGTATACGCCATCGGCGCGAGGGGGGCTAATTTGGCGTTGGGCTGGATGCGCTCCCCGAATTGGAGTATGATATGATACTTCAAATTCGGGTACCTGGTCGTTCCACTGAATTAGGGTTGGGGAGTGATGTGCCCGCTTGGGGGTATTTTTTTTCTTTTCCTCTGCCTCCCCGAAAGCTTGTTTTGGATGGGTTGTGGTTATTTCTGGCTTCTATGGTTCACTTGGGATAGTCGGCGGGGGATCGGATAGAACGGAATGCGATGGTAGGTGTTGTGATTGGTAGGGTATTTCGCTGTGACGGTTAGCAGTGCGGCAGGGGTTTTTTTCAAAACTGAAAATGTTGGAAAAGGAGATACTTTTTTAGTCCGCTTCTAGACCGTGTTCGGCATGTACAGTACTGTACAGTACAGTACCAATAAAAATATAATGCAGCATTTTTTCGAAACAGCTTATTTCTTGATAAATTTACTTTAAAACAGGTAAACTCCAAAGCAAAATTGAACGTGATGGGTAAGCAGAGAGTACCCCTTGGCTCGTCCCTAGCAAAGGAGAGAAGGTCGCGGGAGAACTATTCGATGAAAATAGATATGTCGCGAAGTAAAGTGTCATGACTGGTATGATACCATATTTCGCAACAAATTTATTTTCGCTCCCCCTCAACCATTGGTTCCCCGTGCTTCCTTCTATGTATCATAACTACGAAATTTCCCTTCACCCTAGAGCTACCGTACCGGTAAACTCTCTGGGAGCATTAGGAAATAGGATGTTTTTTTCAAAAATACCACATTGTATTTTTATTGGTGCATGGCCTGATTAGCTGTTTCATATAAACTTGGCGCACATGAAAATGGCTAATCCAGTCATTGCGCCTTGCGATACTATACTCGAGTATCATACTACCCTCAGCGCACATATACAGAGGCGGGGGGTCCAAAAAGAGCACAGAATTCTGGCTAATAGAACCCTACGACGACTCGGAGACCAGTAACTTATCATACACGAAGCAGAATGGAGGATTGGATTAGAATAGGGAAAACAGAGTAAAAACAGCACAACACACCAAAAATAATAATCCAAAATCTCTAGCCAAAAGTTACTCTTCTATGGGATTTCATTAATGTTGAGACTTTCTGGTACTCGTACCTCCAAGGCCGGGCATATCCTACACTCGATCACTTGTCCCTCTAGTCACCTTGGTGCACTCGAATATGCGCGATGCCGGAAACATGGCGATATCGCTGGCTAACGCAATAGAGTACTATAACCAGGTCCAACTCCCAGTGCCCAGTGTGTACTCGTTATCGAAAAAATCCAACTTTTTTAATTTAAAACGCCCTAGTATTAAGGTCTTCTGATATTACTTAACTCCCATTAAGGCAAAAGATTGAGTTGCTTGTGCTACAAGCACGATGCTACATGTAGTAGTAGATTACCTACGGTGGTCCTGACAGAACTCACCCCGCCCCATCGCAATCATCCTCCTCCCATTCCGGCATCGTGTTATCGTATCGGACCGAGCAACTCCGCATCCTACAAAGCGTTCCAACCCTAGCTCTCAATCCGTTTGATATCATATGATACAGGTAATAACCCTCTAGACCCAATCCCGCTCAAAAAGACCAGCATCTTCCTCCGCAACCCTAATCCCCCCCCCCCCGCCGAAAGGAGGGTTGAAAAGTAGCAATCCCTCTAGGGAAATACCCAGAACCGTAACCGAGCACCGAAAATACTAATACAAGGCGATCAGGAAACCACAAGCAGTACGTTTCGAACCTCTCTGGTGGAGCTTGTATGGTATAATACCCAGCTGAGCAAGCTACGGTACGATAAGATGTGGTTCGCCGGTATATTAGAGGATGGAAGGCAGGGATGTGAGCCTGTGGAAGGCTTCGTTTGCTCGTGCGTTGTTCGCAACTACGCTTTTTGGTAGGTCCGGGGTGCCAGTGGCAATGAATTTGAAATGGGTACAAGTACTGTACTCGTGAAATACGAGGTTAGAAAATATGGTTTAATTTGGTAATTATGCTTTGCGAATGCAGCGGTGAAATGTAG